GAAAAATGTCTTCCTGTGAAGCTGCTGTCACACTTAACGCTGTTCAGGCAGTTTTCCTTACGCAAGAAGAAAAAGAAAAAAGGAAAGTGTAAAATGCAGCCATCAATAACTCCTAGTTTCATAAAAGTTCAGTGCGATCTTGTCAGGCACAAATCATGTTTGCAATGCACACAAAATAAAGAGAAAGAGGGAAACCAAGACATGAGGTGGTGGAGAAAAAAAAAGAAAAATACAAAGGGAATGACGAAAGGAGAACTAGACGTAGAGAGAAAGAGAGAAATATACCTCTTTCGGAAGATTTTGAAATATGCTTTTGTTTGAAAGTGTCTGAAAGAGAGAAAAAGAGAAAGAAAAAGGAGAGAAAGAACGACAGAAAGACTCACAGACTGACAACAAGAATCAGGAAATCAGGAAAAATAAACTCATAAAGAACATCTGCATCACAATCACAGTATCATGACACATTTAAGGGCAAAGACACAAATGCTGAGAATAGAGATCCAGACCTATGAAAGAACAACACAAAACCTGAAACCAAATGGATATAAAGTAGAAATTGTCCTCTGGTTTAGAAGATTAAGTTTACTAGTTTAACCAGGCTATATGTGGGATTGGTAAACCACAGCATATAGTATAAAGGAATATGCTTTTTGTTTTCAACAAAAATTTATTTATTTATGTACTTCTGGTTTCATGAGTAGACAAGAAAGAGCTAAATGACAAATTATTCTCAAGTTCAGTGTGTCAGATGATGGACAACCTTGAAAATGATAATGTTTGGTATTTTTTGCAAGCTTTCATGTGGTGAAGCTCATGATGACAGCTTTGCTGAGAAGGGGTGACACAGATCTTTGATTGTGACTGGATGTGTTACAGTACAGCTCAGCCTTTTTATAGCAAAGAGAAGTCGATCTCCAGATGAGATCACCGAGAGGTCAGCAGGCTGAGTCATGTGGTTTCCTTGAATGCTGTATATGACTCACTGTCACAAGCGTACGGTCTGTCTCGATCCTCCAAAGCAGCTGCTGCTTCCAACTTCTTCCGAGCGCTGCTGACACCACGACCCTGTGAAACCGTTTTTATCATAAATGTAACCTTTTAGAGGTGTTTTGTTGACATCAATTAGGTTATGTGTAAATACTATGTACATGCATGCAAGTTTATAAGATCAAGAGTTCACCTTTCCCTTGCCTTTTCCCCGTCTCTTGGGAGTATCTTCTTCATAATCTTCATCGTCTAGATCATCTAGAAAATCATCTGGCTCCAAAATTCTCTACACACACAAAAGGGTGAAAACCAATCAGACAGAATAACTAAGCAAGGCGAGATTTCAATGAAAAACAGTGACAGCTCCAATCAAAACCATAAACTGTTTTCTCAGTACCTTACGGACCCTGCTGCTGGGGTTTAGTCCCCCGGAAGAGTACTCTGTAGAGCTGGGCTCCTCTTCCGCTGTGCGGAGCTCCAACCCGGATCTTTTGTCCACTGGCTCTCCCTTCAGAAGTGCCTCTAAGCTGCTGCCATCACTGGAGAAAACATCTTTCTTAAGCCCCAGATCCAGCTCTGAAACATACACACGCACATTCACATCCATAGGCAACTGGACAGAGATGGATAGAAATGTCATCAAAATATACAATTTAATATAACGTTTAATTACATGAAAATGAAAAATACCTAAACACCAATCTATGAATGGCCTACACACAGGGAATTACATGAAACAGCCACAAACAACATATCTCTATTTTTATTTGACAGAGGAAGTGAGTGGCTGCGTACCGGACTTTAGAGATGGGAAGGCTAAATGAGGGTCCTCTGGAGGGTTAGCTCTCCTCTTCTTTCTCCAGCGTCGTGCTGGATATGTGTACAATTGACCTGGGGCAACACCTTTGGAGAGAGAGACATGAAAAAGATACATACAGTCAGTCATGTCTTATGTGAAAATGAGGGAAGGCATAAGAACATGTTAAAAAAAGTACATTGCAGGCCTTGCAGTATAATTATTTAATACTGGCATAATCAATGATAAGAATAATACTGACAATAAAAGTATTTATTGTTATTTACTTATTTGACAAGTATTTATGTAATGTAATGTATATATATATATATATATATATATATATTCACCCATTTACCTAAATTCATTACTGTATATGTATATAAGTACATATATATATATATATATATATATATATATATATATATATAAGCTTTCCATTGATGTATGGTTTGTTAGGATAGGACATTTTGCTGAGATACAACTATTTGAAAATCTGGAATCTGAGGGTGCAAAAAAAATCAAAATATTACAAAAATCGCCTTTAAAGTTGTCCAAATTAAGTTCTTAGCAATACTAATCACAAATTAAGTTTTGATATATTTACGGTAGGAAATTTACTAAATATCTTCATGGAACATGATCTTTACTTAATATCCTAATGATTTTTGGCATAAAACAAAAATCAATAATTTTGAGCCATACAATGTATTTTTGGCTATTGTTACAAATAAACCCATGCGACTTAAGACTGGTTTTGTGCTCCAGGGTCACATATAAGCATATTAAAACTTGATTTAAATGTTACAACAACTGGTATTGGTATCAACTAAATTTGGTATACTGCCAACGCTAAAAACCCACTTCTGTTCTGTAAACAGACCACTGTGAGTGAGTGTGTCCCACCTGGTCCTCTGTGCCGTTTCTCCATCCAGAAGTAGCAGTTGCTCTGGGCGACACCTGTCTGAGAATCGAGGAAGGGCATCCTGACGCTCCTCTCTGCACACAGACGGGCATTATAGTTGTGACACTGCTCCATAGCGTCCCTGTAATACTGCTCACCCAGCCTATAGACAGAGAAACAAGGCCCACGGTAAATGCAACAGCCTGAATTAAAACCAAGTTTAACCAGAGGTGCTTTTTTGAAACTCACACGGAGTCTAAAGTAGCCATTTTCTGTCAGCGACAAGCAATAGTGTCAACACACACCCCACCACTGCCGCCCTGAAACCAGCTCAACCCTGTTCAGCTTAGCCACCCGTGTGTGTTTGTATGCAGCAGGAGGTCTTGCAGGCATGCAGCTCAGTCATTGTAACTCTCTCACTCCAGCCACTTAGCAGGTGCTGCTGCCGCCCGTCACCCCGGCAACCGCTAAGAGCCCCGGAGAGAGCACAGGCTAGCTAAAGGCCGAGAGATTAGAGCATAGATGGCGTTGATGTCACAGAGGATGAACCAAAACTTAAAGCTTTGGTGTGTTAGAACCAAGAGCTCTGAGGGGTTTACAGCCCAGACAACAAAACAGCCCTGGGATGATCGCCCGCCTTAAAGACGCCAAAACACAGAGCTGCAGATTCAAAAGTCTCTTGCTCAATGGAAAAGCACATTCCACAAACCAGACACTCTGTACACAAACTAGACACTCTGACCACAAACTAGAAACTAGACACTCTGACCACACAAACACCTGCTATTAAGATCCACTTGATGGACAGCACCAAATCCAGGTGTAAATGAGGTCCAGTGTCAAACCATATTCAGAGGTAATCAGAAATGTGACCACACTGAATTGGTGGTGTAAACACTAATGCATCCTGATTCCTCCCAGACATCAGCAAATAACCACCTATTCACCTGTCAAAAAAATTCTAAAACATTAAGATTAATTTAATATCGGATGAGCCACATTGTAAAATGACTATAAATGCACAACCGTAAACAGCCATGAATGCTGTGAATGTATATGTATGTGCTTTTTCAAATTACTTTTAGCCTTGGCAGATCCTAGATGAAAAAGTTATATGTAACAAAAATGAGAAATGTTGCCTTGGCAAGTAAATGAAAATAAATTTAAGTGGAAATACTGAAATGACTACAGTAAAGCTAAACAGAAAAAAAAATTTAATTTTAAAAATAAAACAAACTAATAAAAACAATGTGAATAACTAAAACTAATAAAAACAAAAGCAAGTAACAATGACAAAAACTAAATCTAACATGAAAACTACAAATAAAAAAATTTGTAAAAAAAAAAAAACTCTTCATTTTTATTTGTATGAACAATTATAAAAAAACAGTGCTTGATAGATAGGATCCTCCCAATGCCTACTCTCCACCCTTCCTTGATAGGTGACTGGCGTGATTGAGTTGACCAATGAAACCAGATGGAGAGTAGAGGCTGTGCTTGACTGGTTTAGGAAAAAAAGAAATCATTCTAGAAATATATATCACAATATGACAAGTGGTCACAGGAGCCACTTAAAGGGTTAGTTCACCCAAAAATTTAAATTAGCCCATAAATTACTCACCCTCAAGTCATCCTAGGTGTATATGACTTTCTTCTTTCAGATGAATACTAACCTTTTAAGATCGAACCACCAAGACAGATGTTAAAGCAGCTGTATACAGGGCTTCTGAGTAAGAGTGTTTGATACTGCAAAATTAACTTCACTAGCAGACAAATTGTTTAAGTATGTTACTAGTTGGTATTCTATTAGTTCCAATCACAGTAAAGTTCACTGAAATTTTAATAGCCTTGAACACAATTCTTGGTCTGTTTTTAAGTGCAAATCCTGTTTTCTGTTCCCTTTTCTGACTGTTGCGGATTTGGCTACTGTGTCCTCAACTCATCAGTCAGAAAAAAAAGTGAGGGCTGAATAAGGAACTGTGTTTCCAGGACCTACCAGCGCTGTCAAAATCGGGTCAGAAACTTTAACCATTTCACTGCCCTTCTTCTAAAAGCTCCTTATTGAACAGCTAATTCTGTTTTAAATGAAAGAACACAGGCACTTAACAGCCCAATTTTCACCTAAAACACTTCCTGGTTTCAGGACAGTTTGATGTGGCAAAAACAGATAAAGAACTACATGATATAGTTAGTATATCATTATGGAAATAACGTTCAGGCAGAGCAAACTATTTAGCTAATAACATAAATAAAATGCGTCAGGTAAATGTAACCTGCTTCAAAATAAGTGATATGAGTCTCTCATGTTCACATCCATACATGACAGAACTGCAATCCAATAAAACTGACTGACAGCTTCTGCTTCCAAAACTGAACTGAGCAGAATAACCAAGCAACAAAAGCACTGACAAACAACTGAATCAAACATTTGAGCGCCTTAAAATGGTCCCCGTGGCACTTTATGACACCACTGACATAAACACACTCATTAGAGGAACAGAAAAGCCTCCTACATGCGTTACTCCCTGATCATGCTGAAAGACGGAAGCTAACTGAAGCATTCAAACCAGCGGGACACGACCGCTGCTAGTACAGCTAACTTGACCAGAGCTCGGATAACCTTGTCAAACACGTGTCTTTAGCTCTCTTTAAGCAAGTTATTTAGAAGCCCGTCACGTTGTGTTATTACTTCAAAGTTATATATCATAGTTCAACATACAAATCTCATATGTAGTCAAATAAGAATGGAAAATACTCACAGCTTGACAACATTCTCCACCACCGCCGCCATCTTGGCTCTACTGTGCTCACAGCGGGTGTTCTGTTCTGCGCTTGCGCAAAAGGAAGCGCTTTAGAGGAAGGTCGCGGGTCAGGGGCATTCAGGAGGAGGGAGCGTGAGGGCCAAGCTTTCATGTTCAAATATAGACACGTTACAGTGCATCCAACAAAAGGGATTTGTTGTCTTTCTAAACCCTTACGACTGACTTTTTGTGAAACACAAAAAATAAAGTTTAATACCAAAAGGACACAAAAAGTAGGCTATAAAAGTGGTTCAAACTATTTCGTGATATATCTTCTGAAGCGTTGTTTCAGAAAAAAATTGAAATCACTGTTTATTCCCCTCATAACAAATTGAGTCAGTGAGTTAAACACAACAAGGTCTGTCTGATTCGTGTCCGTACAAAACATAGGCCTAAATGGGGCCTTTAGTTTGTGAACTAGATCAATTGAAAAGATTCAACTCAGATGACTCATGAATCGGACATCGCTGGATCCCAACAATAGGAGAAGGGTCTGGCTGCAGCCTTGTACTTGCACTCTCAGACTTGCATTCTCAGACACTTGCGCTTCCGCTAGCAACGTCACTTGCAGTCTTTTTTATTTTTTTATTTTGTTCTATTTATTGATTACTTTTTGTTTGAATCTCTCAACATTTTACCACAGTAGCCAGGTGGTGAAGACAAGAAAAACGAAACTCACTTACAATGTCACTTGCAATCGCCACTTGCACTCTCCCATACCTGCAACGTCACTTGCAATCAACACAAATCGTGCGTGTTGCCAATGGAGACAAGACGCTGTGGTGATTAAACGATTAAAACTAATTTTATACTATAACGTACAGAGTCCTGCAAGAAAAAGACAAGACCCGCAAATCCGTGGCTACAGAACAGCAGAATATGAACGCAATGCACAAAGTCTCTCGTTAAGCGTTTTCCTCCTGCAGAAAAACATAAACACTTAACATGGCTTAATGTATTAAGATTGACTTCGTAATTTAGTTTCTTTTGTCTTGTCTTCACCACCTGGCTACCTTTGTAAAATGTTGAGAGATTCAAACAAAAAGAATAAATAAATAGAACAAAACAAAAAAATTAAGACTGCAAGTGACGTCGCTAGCGGAAGTGCAAGTGTCTGAGAGCAGTGTTGCCAGATTGGGTTCCCGCCCAATTGGGCGGTTTTGAATTTGATTAGGTGGGTAAAAATTGGCTTGGGCGGGTGGACAAAATTTGGGCTGGTTTGGGGTCAGTTTGGTGTTTTTCAAACATATAAATTGCATAGGCTAATTGTTTAACAAACAAGCCAAAGTATGCATGTACTGCATCCAATCAGTCATCACAACGTTACTACACACACACACACTACAGAGGCGCTGGTGCTAAGGTAAACGTCCATAGCCGCACTTATCACGAGGGCTCAGCAGACAGACATTGATTCATGAGTGACAGGTTTTTAGCGTGATAAGTTATAACGTAGGCTATCTGATTTTGAATGTAGTATGACTGTGTATATTCAAGTAATCCCAATGCCTAAATATAAGTTAAAGAGTGGGAGAGTGACAACTCTCAAAACGTGAATTATTGTGGAGTGAGATGACACGAAGGCTCACTGCAACTCCGAAATCAGAGCACATTTGAATTAATTAATCAAAACCGAAACTAAATAGGCTATGTCAGTTTATACAATATTGTCTTTTATCTTTTAAATGGTCCAGATTGATAAATCCTTGAAAACTGCTAGACTTGATTAGTTTTGACTGTGCAAAATTGTATTATGTTCTACAATATCAACTTAACAAGATGCTTCCTCTAGTTCTGTGTAAAATTATAGAGCGACACTAAGGTAAGCGCATTATTTATTTATTTTTTTTTAAATTGTAGGATTATAATTCAGTATGTATCAATGAATGACACAGTTTTGACGGTCATGGTGTGTGCATGAACGAGTGTGAAATACCTGCTAATTACGTTGCTTTTTCCTATCACTTATATTGGGCACTTTTGCATTTAAATTGGATTATTCTGACTGCTGACATTGAAAATAATGCATGTGTAGTTTTGAGGGTATCAGTTAATTTCTTGATTGCCGTTTTGACAGTGTCTTCTTGCATGTTTTATTCATGTTCGGTAGCCTAATTCTCTTTAATGTAGGCTATTTGCCCCGATTTGATCCGTTTAAGTTACCTGGGAAATTTATCTAACGTTGTATTTATATTTATATTTATATTATTTTGTCGTCATTAGAGTTAAAAATGGCCCTTATCAACCTTGATTTACATATTCAGGTTTTGGTGGGTTTTTGTGAGCTTTTGGGCTGGAAATCATCAATCCAATCTGGCAACACTGTCTGAGAGTGCAAGTCTGCGAGTGCAAGTCTGAGAGTGCAAGTCTGAGAATGCAAATCTGAGAATGCAAGTCTGAGAATGCAAGTCTGAGAATGCAAGTCTGAGAGTGCAAGCGCAAGTCTGCAGGCAGACCCTTTTGAACAATAGGCAAAGTGGATGTAAGATTTTCAGCAAACAACGAATGCAATTTCCGTCTATATTTATATGCCTTCAGAAGACTTAAATAGGCCTAGTGCACGAGTCATATCGACTAGGCCTACTTTTAATGAAACTGATCAAATTTTACAGACCAAATTCTTATTCACGTTATGTTGAAAAAAAAAAACCTTCCAGATTATTGTTAATATATTTAACTATGTG